ACTGCTGCTGCTGCTACTACTACTACGACTACGACTACGACTACGACTACGACTACGACTACGACGACTACTACTACGACGACGACGACTACTACTACTACTTCTACTACTACGACGGCGACGACTACTACTACTACTACTACTACTACTACTACTACTACTACTACTTCTACTACTACTACTACTACCACTGCTAGTAATCATACGATACGAAGATCATTCACAATGATAAGCCTTATAAGCATAACAATGCATATTTAATTCTTCAAAGACGAATACTCCTACGAATACGAGTAAGCATGGTATGGATACGATTGGGAATAACAAGGCGAAACATATGATGAGGAGATGAAGGAATAATAAGAAGAAACATAAGAGAAGGAGGACGGGAGAAGGAGGAAAAGGTGGAGGAGAAGGAAGAGGAGGAGAAGGAAGAGGAAGAGGAGGAGGAGGAGAGGAAGAGGAGGAGAGGAGCAGGAGGAGAGAGAAGAGGAGGAGTAGGAGGAGGAAGAAGAAGAGGACGAGGAAGAAGAAGAAGAGGAGGAGGAGGAGGAGGAGGAGGACGAGGAGGAGGAGGAGTGAGAAGAAGAAGAAGAGGAGGAGGAGGAGGAGGAGGAGGACGAGGAGAAGGAGGAGGAGCATGCGAGATGCAACTCCGAGCCTCAGACTCCGAGCCTCGAGCTTCGAGCCTCGGTCCTGGGGCCTCGACCTCCTCCTCCTCCTCCTCCTCCTCCTCCTCCTCCTCCTCCTCCCCCATTCCTCTCCCCCTCCCCCTGCATACAAACAGGCCTCGGAATCCGAACTTTTTTCAGCGCTCGAGTTGTCTGGTGCGCTTGACAAGGTAAGTTACAGATTGCAGGAGGGGGCGCGCGGGGAGGAGGAGCGGCTGCGGAGGACAGGAGGGAGGGGGAGGACAGGAGGGAGGGGGAGGAAATTAGCGAATACACATGCCACATTCATCTGTCAACGCCCCCCCCCAAAAAAATGATCAATGTTGGCGGTAGGTTGAACGAGTTGCCCTTCGACAGCAGGTTCCCCCGCGCGTGCCAACTTTGAATTTGGGGGAGAGGGGGAGTGTCCACTAGTTGTGTCCATCTGGGCGGAGTTTCCACTAGTTGTGTCCCTCTATCTAGGCGGGATAGGCGGGGTTCGAAGATAAGTTCGCGTCGCCCATCGTGGGGCGCGATGCGCGAAGTTTGGTGGCCCAGCAGCCCAATCTGGCAGAATCCCGTTCAATCCGACTAAGTCCCAGTTGGCCCTGGAACCGGGACTTACTAGCCTTTTTCTTTCTTGCGAAAACCTCCCAGAAGTTGCTTCCCGAGGAGGCACGAAGATAACCGCGCGTCGCGCAGAGCAGGACGCGGTGCGCGAAGCTCGGTGCCTTGGCGTCCCTCAGCGGGGCGAGATGACCTGCATCCTCTGGCGCGTAACGCTAGTTACCCTGGCTAAACCTCCCCACCCATTTCCTGGGTAACGATCTACGCGTGTGTGTGCGTGTGTGTGTGTGTGTGTGTGTGTTCGTGTGTGTGTGTGTGTGTGTTTGTGTGTGTGTTCGTGTGTGTGTGTGTGTGTGTGTTCGTATGTGTGTTCGTGTGTGTGTGTGTGTTCGTGTGTGTGTGTGTTCGTGTGTGTGTGTGTTTGTGTGTGTGTGTGTGTTCGTGTGTGTGTGGAGGGGGCTTGGACCCCCCTCCATGGTGCTCGTACGCATGCCATGGCGATCGCAGCGCAACCCCGCCCCGACGTGCCCCACCCTGCCCAAGAGCTGCCCTTACCCCGACCCCCAGCCTCCCCTCCCCGGTGACGGTCGGGAACTTGTGGATTCTTTTGGATCGCTGGGATTATTTTGGATTATTTTGGATATTGGATTATTTTGGATATCTTTTGGAACTTTTGGATTCTTTTGGATATTTTTTCGCTCCCCCTGTTCTGGCCCGCCACGCTTCGGAGCGGCACGCGATCGCTCTCCCGGTCCCCAAGAGCGTCAGCATCCCGAGCGCTGCCCGGCCTGGCGACCCGCGGAGCGGAGCGACACGCTGCCCACTCGCAAGGCATAGCGCACAGCGTGTCGCCGAGGCCGCCGCGGCGACACGCTGAGCAAAAGTTCGCCGGGCGTGGTCTTACAAGCCCAGATGTTCGTCGTTTTTGCTTGATTTGTTCCTCCTCCTCCTCCTCCTCCTCCTTGTTCTCTTCGTTCTTCTCCTCCTCCTGCTCCTGCTCCTCCTCCTCCTCCTTCTCCTCCTCCTCGTCCTCCTCGTCCTACTCCTCCTCCTCCTCCTCCTCCTCCTCGTCCTCCTCCTCCTTCTCCTCCTCGTCCTCGTCCTCCTCCTCCTCATTATTCTCCTCCTCCTCCTCCTCCTCCTCCTCTTCCTCCTCCTCCTCCTCCTCCACATCATCCTCCCGACCGTAGCAACCGTCACAGCGATCGCGGGAGGGAGGGCCGCCGCCGCCCCCAGGCGCCGACCTGCTTCGAGAGCTGCCCCCAGCCCTCGAGGGCGGACGTGCGGGCCTCTAGCGCGCTCGCAGGGAGGGAGGGGGCGGGGTGGGGGAGGGAGGAGGGAGGGTTGGGGAGGGACGGGAGGGGAGGAGGGAAAAGGTGGGGGAGGGAGGGAGGTGAGGGGGGAGGGCGGAAGGGGAGGGAGGGAGGGAGGGAGGGACGGGCAGGAAAGGGGAGGGAGGGAGGAAGGGAGAGGAGGAAGGAGGTGGCGAGGAGGGAGGCGGAGAAGGAGGAGGAGGGAGAGGAGGAGTGAGGGGCGGAGGAGGAGGAGGCGGAGGCGGCGGAGGCGGAGGAGGAGGGGCAGGAGGAGGAGGAGGAGTGGCGGGAGGAGGCGGAGGAGGGGAGGCCCGAGGAGGGGCGGAGCCAGGAGGCGGTGGGAGGAGAGGAGGAGGCGGCGGAGGAGGCAGGAGGAGGAGGGAGGAGGAGGAGGAGGAGACGTGGCAGCTCCGACCAAGTGCATAATGCCAACAGCGCTCAGCGCCCAGGAGGAGGAGGAGGAGGAGGAGGAGGAGGAGGAGGAGGAGGAGGAAGAGGAGGAGGAGGAGGAGGAGGAGGAGGAGGAGGAGGAGGAAGACGAGGACGAGGACGAGGAACAGGAGCAGGAGGAGGAGGAGGAGGAAGAGGAAGAGGAGGAACAAAGACGCGACGGCTCAAGCACGCCAACGCTTGCCCAACGTAAAAGGAGGAGGGACCTGTGCAAACCCAAGACTCACTAACGATGTTGCGATAAACCCTCCCTCGAAGCACCCGCTTCATAGGCCCCTAGAATGGTCCATTTCCATTGAGGGAAGTGCCCTGTTGGGAGACAACAGTTTGAAAATCCTTAACCGTACCAGAGCACCATTCTTGGAACCTCAACGCTTGAGCTCAATCTTATGGTTGCGTCGTGAGTATCCAGAATCGTGCCAGAACACCGTTCCTGGGAATTCAACACCGCGAATCCATGTAATTGCTGCGCCCTAGCATCGCTCCACAACACCATACGTTAAGCATGATCATCCGTGAAGTTCGTGCAACTGTTTGAGACGAATTTGCGCGGCGCTGAGGCGATAGCCCCATATTGAACATTCCTGCAACCGTTTAAGACGAATGTGAGTGGCGCCCAGGCGATGGATAGGCACATTTTGAAAACGACTTGCCCTCGTTCCGCGGAGCTCTTGCGATGTGTTGAAACGGGTGTGCGCGGCGCCAAGATGAGAGCCACATTTTGGAAGGACGACTTGTCCTCATTGTGTGAAGCTCTTGCAGTTGTTTGAAGCGAATGTGCGCGGCGCCTAGACGAGAGCCATACCTTGGACGGGGCCCGCCCTCCATCTGTAAAGCTGTTGCCAATGTTGACCTGGCATCGCTCGGACGTGTGCATTTTTTCGCGGCAAGGGCCATCGAGGAGCATCCTGGATCATCGAGCAAAAACCATGCGCGAACTCGAACAATGCACGGGGAATGGACGTCCGAGCGATGGCGAGTTGAAGCTTCAGGGTCATCAATAGTGGGGGATTCTCAGGTGAAACGCCCGGCCCTCCCTTCCGACCAGGCTCGGGGTGTGACAGGGAGGAGTTCTTTATAAGGAACAGGAAGGGAGGAATAGGGAGGAGGAGGAGGAGAAGGAGGAGGAGGAGGAGGAGGAGAAGGAGGAGGAGGAGGAATAGGAGGAGGAGGAGGAGGAGGAGGAGGAGACGATGGAGACGATGGAGACGATGGAGGGGAAGGTTTCTGGAGGTGCTCAGAAGCTTCAGACGGTTTTGGAGGACTCTCGGGGGGTCCGGGGGCCAGGATTGGGGGGGGGGCGGGGAGGGAGAGGGGAGCATGAGGAACAGCAGGAGGAGCCGGGGGAGAACGGTAAGCACACGTTGCCATCATTCTGTTTTTTTGTCACCCTTGGTGGGGAGGGTGCGGGGTCGGGGCCCTCTCCGGCAGCTGGAGCTCAACGCGCATTTCAAAAGGCTGTCACAAATGCCCTGGCCAGTATTCTGAGGGCCCCACCATGGCTCTATAACCATTTCGACACCTATGGTAATGTATTGGTGGTGTCATCACGGAAGGGTGGGGCAATTCGAGTTGGAGCCGATTTGAGTTTTTTGTTGAGTCAAAACAGTATTTTGTCGACGCAGTGATTACAGTTGGGTACTCTACTAAGCTATCTATCTGGTGGCCAGCATCCCGCCACCGTGCCTGGGTCGTGGACAACAGGCATAATGGAGGCCTCTTTGGGTCTCGCGGGATGCCTCTTGGGGACCTCGTGGGGGCCTATGAATGTGGAGCTTGCTGAATGTCTCGGGGTCCTCGTGGGGTGGGGCTCAAAGTAGCAATTCGAGTTTCCCCTCTTGGGCTTCTCTTCAAGGGCCTCTTGGGTTTCCATTTGGGGGTGTTGGGGCTGGGGGACTGCTGGACGCTTTTTTGGAATACGAAAGGGCGAGCAGGTGAACATCTGGAATAAAAGCTTAGTTAGTGATGCTGGCCTCTTGGGACGGTTCCCAGACAAGACTTCCAAAACGGTCCAGGAGCCCCGCAAGGGAGCCACAGGACGGATCCGTGGGCCGAAATATGGATTCCCAGCAACGCTTCCAAGGCCCTAGGAAAAGTCACGCGGGAAGCGCAAGAAACGCGGGGGATGTCCATGAGTTGTGAGTCGGGGGTCTGGATAGAGCACGTGCGATCCCCAATGCAGACATGCCGAAGGCACCTTGGGACACTCCACTCGGCGCCCACGGCACGGTGGCGGAGCCACATGCAGTGGACTTGCGCGACCGTTTGTCTAGTGGCCTTCGGCCCATCCCGCCACCGTGCCGAGGCTGTGGGTCACAGGCCTCTTGCTCTCATCTTGGGATCTCGTAGAATGCCCCTCGGGGGCCTCTCGGAGACCGCTTGGGGGCATCTAGGGGGCCTCTGGGAGGCCGCTGGGAGGCTTGTTCGGCGCCTCTGAGGGGCCGCTTGCGGGCCTCTCGGTGGTCTCGTGGTTTGCTTCCGGATGAGATATTAATGAGGCGGGGTGATTGACCTTGCGGCAGAGCTTGCCCTTCCCCCCGCCCTTCCTCCTCCTCCTCCTCTTCTTCCTCCTCCTCCTCCTCCTCTTCTTCCTCCTCCTCCTCCGCCCTCCGCCCTCCGCCCTCCTCCTCCTCCTCCTCCTCCTCTTCCTCCTCCTCCGCCCTCCGCCCTCCGCCTTCCGCCCGTTCCGACAGCACGTGCGCAACTCAGAGGGTCTTCGCACCGCGGCACCGCGGCGTCCCGCCTGGCGGGCGGGGTGGGCCCCAGGCGGCTGGCGAGGATGGCGTCGTGGAGGACGGTCAGTGGAGAGGGAGCATGTTGCCAAGTAGTTTCCAGATGTCTAGAACATGTGCTAAAGCTGCTTTAAACATGTAAACACATGTTGCAAACATTTCCAGGACATTTGTTCCGACATTTTAAACACATGTTTAATTCGATGATCGGACTGTTAGGGTGTCCATTGGTCGTGGCATCCACAACGATGGCGAGACCCCCCCCCCCGCTGAGCTCAGGGGCAACTCGGCGGCAAGCGACGGGGGGGGAAGCGAGAAGGAGAAGCCCGTCTCAGATGGCGGCGGGACTTGTCCGAAGCCTTCGCACCTTCTGAGGAGTCCTCCTGTGTCTTCTGAGAATTTGTCTGTGCCTTCGGGGAGGGCTTACAAGGTCCGAGGACTGCCGAGTCTTCTGAAAAGGCCCACCCCTTCTCACTTCCCCCCTAGGCTCGCCGCCGAGCAACGTTGAGGGGGATAAGTAGCTACGCTCAGGAACTTTGGCTCAGCGTGTCGCTCCGCCGGCTCTGGCCCACCACGCTGCAGCGCGACATGCTAGCCCCGTCCCGGGTCCCCGAACGTCAACGTCTCAAGTCTGTCGCAGCTTCCCGCCCCGCGAAGCGAAGCGACACGCCATCGCCTCGCAGAGCGTGAGGAGGAGGAGGAGGAGGAGGAGGAGGAGGAGGAGGAGGAGGAGGAGGAGGAGGAGGAGGAGGGAGGAGGAGGAGGAGGAGGAGGAGGAGGAGGAGGAGGAGGAGGAGGAGGAGGAGAGGGCATAGGCGTGTCGCCGGGGTCGCCGCGGCGACACGCTGGCAAAAGCTTCCGACCACAGGCTCCAGAGGGCACGCGTCGACTCCCAAGCGCCCATGCATCGCCGGCAGGGGCCCGACGACGGCCCGGCCCGCCGGGGACCGTGCGGATGTGCCACCGGGGGCCTCGCGCCGATTTTTCGGCGGTGCGTCGCCGATTCCGGCTCGGTGACTTTTCTCTGGGCTGGCTCCCCTAACGTTCCCCCTCATCTAGGGGAACAAAAAGTGGCATCAACATAAAAACTCGGAGGTCCGCGCGGATTTCTCGGATCGGCGCTGGACCCCCTCCCTGGCGCGCGGAGCGCGCCAGGGGCGGCGCCGGAGGCGCCGCCGGGGGGCCCAGCGCCGATCCGAGAAATCCGCGCGGACCTCCGAGTTTTTATGTTTATGCCACTTTTTGTTCCCCTATCATCAGCCCAGAGGGTTCCAGAGGGGGTCAGGGCAGGGGGGGTCGGGCGACACCCCCTTGTCCAGCCCTCAGAAGAGGGGGTGAAGCTCACGGGGGTCGAACAAGCCCCCTCTGGAAACTGCATCGAGTTCTGGCGATAATCCAGCTTTGCGGACCCGCCCGCTCCCCCCCCTCCTCCCCCTCCGTTGATCTGACCTTGTCGGGTGCGCAGGTCCGGAAGGGGTGCGCAGTGCTGGTGCGCGCGGGCACACGTGGGGCTGCCCGGTGTGAGAAGGTTACAGGCATTCGGACAGCACCTGCCCCCTTCCCCCCCACCAGATAATCCAGGCTATCGCCGGAACAGAGAAATCCGAGGCGGGAATTTATCCATATCCACCGCCTGGAGGGTCAGTTTTCGGAGCCTCGGCAGGCGGTGGATATGGACATATTTCCGCATTCGGGCCCCCGGGGGCCGAAGTATAGCCATATCCACCGCCCGCTGGGGCACCAGGACGTCGGTTCCCAGGCGGTGGATATGGATGAATCCCCGCCTCGCAGAAAAGGTCTCCTGCCCTGACCCCTCCCTGGAGCCCTCAAGTCAGCGGCGGGGGCCCCGTGCTGGCTCGACCCAGGTCAGCTACGGCGCCACCTCCGCCAGCATGGACGCTCCCTCGGTCGCCTGGCGCCGCGCGCGCGCGTGCGGCCAGCAGTCGGCGCCTCTTGCGTCCTCCCGTCCGGCCACGCGCAGAGGGGGGTAGGGGGAGGGAGGAAGGCTTCTTAGAGCCACCCCTGCTTCTCAGAAGGCGCGGGCCTTGTCTGTAGATGCAGGGCCAGCGCCTTCTAAGAAGCAGCCTCCTTCTAAGAAGCCTTCCCCCCCGCCGCCTATCCCCTTGTGCGCGCCGCCAACTTTTGCACGGGGCGTGCTTCTCAGCCGACGATCCAAGGAGCGAGAGAGAGGGAACAGGCAGTGCTTGCTCGCAGGCTTTTGTGCTGGAAGCCTGGGATGAAGATGCTTACCTCGCACACGGGGGGGTGGCGCCGCTCTTGTGGCGGCCAGAAGTCGGGGAACATCGTTGTCCATAGGCTCCCCCACCTGTGCGCCGCCCGAGCTCCAGGGATTCACGAATGCGAAATCGCGCCGAGCAGGGCCCGATCTGTTTTCTCATTGCGGGCATCAGGACTTGCTCCTTCATCGTGTGAGATGTACCCACCCACCCCCTCTCTTCTCCAGTCCTCTTCCCCTCCCTGCTCCATTTTCCCCCCTGTTCCCCACCCCCCCTTTCTCTCCCCACTCTGCGTCCCTCTCCCCCTCCCCCACATCGCCGTCCTTCCTCCCTGCCTCTCCGGCCTCCCTCCCTCGGCCGTCTCGGATGCTCCAGGGAGCCCGAGACGGCCCGAGTGTGCAACCGAATGTCCCAAGAAGGATCCAGAACGGCCCCGTGAGACCTTCGGAGAGCCCAAAGAAGCCTCCCCTGACTCTCCGCTCGAGCCACCGCTCTCTCGGCAAGAGCAGGTGCTCGGCAGGGCCACCGACGGCCGCCCAGGCTCGCTGACCGCTCTCCTCCGGGGGATCCGCGTCGAGCACGCGCTTAGCCTCGGGTCCTCTCCGTCTCCTTCCGGCTCCTCCTCCTCTCCTCCCCTTCATCGTTCCCTTTTCCCCTTCCTTGGATACATCCTCCCCATCCTCATCCTCTCTCCTTCTTGTCCCTTCTCGGCGCTGTGTAGGGGATATCGTTGGCCGTTCGGGCCGCGGGGGATATCCAGATGCATGCCGAGCAACTGCATGGCCGATCTGTTGCCCAGGCCACGGCATGAGTTTGCCTATTGTAGGTCGGCTTCTGAGGTGTTCCCGGTTATCCTAGCAACGTGTTGTACCAGTATACGGTAGGGCCGTTTTGTGTGAGGATAAAAAACAGGAGCTGTTCGTTCCCTTGCCGCTTCCACTCTGCTCCGCCGCAGTGGCATGCTTTGTACTGATGGCCATCTCCTTCATTTCGTGGCGACCGGGGACCGGGGGGCGCCTCGAGCGTGGTGCCCATGATCCATATGGAGGCAATCTCATGGTCAAAACATCGTCGTTGGTTGATTCAGCGGATTCTCACACTGGTATGTACTCTGAGTACCTCAATAGTTTTGGGGTGACCAATACTCTGGGGGGGGGGCCCTGTAGTCCGGGGGGGGGCACGTAGCCTTGGGTGCGGTTCCGCGTTCCAGGGGGGCCTTGTAGTCTTGGAGGGGGCCTTGTGGTCCGGGGGGGGGCGCCCTTGAAGTCCGGGGGGGGTCCTGTAGTCCGGCCGGGGGGGGGGGGGGACAACGCAAACAATGCGCTTTGCACAAGCGCGCAATCCCGTCGGCAAGCAACGCGGCGATTCCGCTGCTGCAACGCGCGCGCGTGCGAGGAGCCCTTCTCCGAGATAACGGCCCCGAGATCCGTCACTGGCAACCCGTAGCACCTCCTGTCTTGGGCGGGGGTGATTGTAGTCCCAGGGGGGTCCTTGTAGTCCGGGGGTGGGTCCCTGTAGTCCAGGAGGGGGCCCTTCTAGACCGGCGGGGGGTCCACGTAGTCCCAAGGGGGGGTCCCTGTAGTCCGGGGAGGGGGGCCCTTGCAGTCTGGGGAAAGGGCCCTTGTACTCCAGGGGGCCCTTGTAATTAGTCTGGGGGCCCAGAACTATTGAGGTACTCAAGAGTAATCGGATTGGGCCAAATGCCATGGACGAGGATTGCGATGCTGCAATAGATGGTGGATCGATTTTGATCTTAGCGCGGACTCGAACCGGAGACGCGGGCGATAATGGACATGATGCGACGACCCTCGAGGTCAACACGACGACGCAGGGCGGAACATTCAGTGCGGCTGGTGCTCCACCAACAGTACTTGGGCCGCGCAGGACTTGGCAGCAGGTCCGCGGGAGGCGCTCGCAGGTCAGGATGCAGCAGACCAGGGGCAGCGTTCGGGATGCTGCGCGCAGAGCATGCCCATGCAGGCCAGGAGATTTACGCAACCAACCAGTGGTGCCAGGTGCGTTGGGTGTGCTGGTCAGCGCCGCAGCTGGGCAGGGTTGGCACGTCGGCCTGCATTTCTAGGGCTCCTCATTCGGGTGAGCCCTCAGCGCAGCATGGGGCCAAGAGTGGCATTGAGGACAGTTCAGATAAGGTCTCGTCACATTTTGGAAGTATGGGGAAGCATGGGAAGTGGGGGGGAAGGCGAACATCGAGAAAATATGTGACATATGGGGAATCCTGGGATTTGTGTCTATCTATGTGTGTGTCCCTGGGCTCCTCCAAGGACAGCGATCGGGTCGGGAGGATGGGGCTGGGGGATGTGGTCCGATTATCCGTTTATCGCGCACGCTGAATGTGCTCACTTCGCAGTCGTGCCCTGCATCTTCCCACCCCCTCCTCCTCCTCCTCCTCCTCCTCCTCCTCCTCTTCTTCCTTCTCCTCCCTCTCCTCTTCCGCCATCTCCCCCTCCTCCTCCTCCTCCTCCTCCTCCTCCTCCTCCTCCTCCTCCTCCTCCTCCTCCTCCTCCTCCCAACACGATAACTGTCCTTCTGGCCTGGGGCAGGCGGGCGACCGCCCGCCTCACAGCACACTCGCAGGCCCCGCCCCTCCTTGCGGTCGGCAGCTCTTGCACAGCGGGTCGCCCCGCCGGTGCTGGCCCACGGTCAAGACGCTGAGATAAGGCACAATTTGGATTCGCAAGGGGCCCCATCCTCGTCAGGTTCCTCCATAGCTGCTCCTCTTGCCCTCCTCGGGCACGGATGCGCTTGTAGGGCCAAAAAGGGGCTTCGTATCTCAGTTAGCGTCCCTTCTGTCAGCGGCCCGACTGTACCGCGCTTCGGCCCGCAATCCTTTGCCATCCTCTTCCCAGCTCCCAGGCTTCAGCGTCCCGAGCCTTTCCTCGGCGTCGCCCTAACATACTAACACTAAGTGTGAGTCGCCCTCCCCCCCCCCCAACGGGCGACGCGCGCAACGAGAAATCTTATAGTATACGCGTCGTGGCGGGCGCTTTCTGGCCACACCGCTCGGGAAACGATGTACGACAAGATGGGTGCGCGCCTCCAAGGAGGACATACAGTCAACGCGCCTAGTAAAGACGCGCGCCTTCATCTAGGATACCCTTGCGTCCTTGCCTCTGTGGCCCGTCCTTTGCCGTTTTCACTGGTCGCCGCCGCCCAAAAAAATCCAAACTTCAGCCTCCAAGGGCCTTGCGTCCTTACCACGCGTCCTTAATATACGTTTTGACTGTATAGTATTAGTATGTCTTTGTGCGTCCCATTTCCGAGCCTCCTGCCCCGCGGGGCGGCGCGGCACGCTGTCCGCTGTGAAGGGACAGCGCGTCGCTGGGGCCGCGGCCGCGACGCGCTATCCAAAAAGCCCCAACCGCATCAAGGGGAGGCTCAGCCATTGTCCTGGCAGGACAAAAACAGATCGGGAGCAAAAGAAACACACAGACACAATCGTCGATTCCCCCGAAAATGTTAGGAAATATGGGAAGTGGGGGGAAGACAAACACCCAGAAAATATAGGAACATATGGGGAATCCTGTTATTTGTGTGTATTTATTTGTGTGTCCCAGGGCCCCTTCAACAGAACGCAGCCGATGCGGGGCCAGAGCCGCGCGCACCTGCTGCGCGAGCGGTGCGTTCTCTCTCTCCCCCCGCGCGCGCGCGCCCCGCGCGCCCAGGTCTTCGAGAGCCAGCCCGCGGAGGCGAGGCGGGTTGGGCCGAGTCGGTTCCGCTGGAGTTTTCTTTTTGTTGCATGCGCTTTCCGTGTTTTTTTTCTGAGGATGTCGCGTGTTCTCTTCGGTGACGCGCCCAGGAGAGGAGGTAGAGGGAGCGGGCATTCTCAGAAGCCTGAGAAGGTCTTCGGCCTTCCGGCGCCACCCAGTGGGCTTCTCAGAAGGTCGGAGGGCTCCGAGAAGGCCCGCCGCCTTCTGAGGAGAAGGCCTGCCCCCTCTCGATCTCCCCCCTTCGGCGCGCCGCCGATTACTTGGCATCGATCGGACGTGTGCATTTTCCTTTCGGCGAGGACCATCGAGGAGCAGCTTGGATTATCTTGCGAAGCTACTACGACGACGACGACGACGACGACGACGACGACGACGACGACGACTACTACTACTACTAATACTACGACTACTACTACTACTACTACTACTACTACTACTACTACTACTACTACTACTACTACTACTACTACTACTACTACTACTACTACTACTACTACTACTACTACTACTACTACTGCTTATACTACTACTACTACTACTACTACTACTACTACTACTACTACTACTACTACTACTACTACTACTACTACTACTACTACTACTACTACTACTACCTCGACCACTACGATGCCTACGTCGGACTACGGCCGACTACGACTAGTACGAATACTGCGATTACTACGGGAACGACTACGACTACCAGGATCTTCCCTCTACAGTCCACCCCCTCATCCTCATCATATTCGTTCTCCTCCTCCACCTCCCCCTCCTCCTACTTCGGGTAAGGAGGACTCCCCGAAACACAGCGGATCCGATAGCACCGACCCAAGCCTACCCTTGATCCTCCTTTTTTTCCGTTGCCCTCGTGGAGGATGACGAGGGCGACGACGACCACCACCACCACCATGCCGCCGCCGCCGTCCCAGTCGCCGTTGTCATCGTCGTGTCGCCGAGCTCGCGTGGGTGGGGTGGGGGCGGGGGGCTTGGGCCCTGGCGGGCCGCCAGGGCCGCAGCGGCGCAGTGTCGGCGGCCTCCTCTTCGGCGGCGCGGAGGGCCGAGGAGGCCCGAGCGCTGATCGAGGCAGCCCCCCCGCGCGCCCAGCTCCTCCTGCTCGATCGAGGAGGAGGAGGAGGAGGAGGAGGAGGAGGAGGAGGAGGAGGAGGAGGAGGATGGGGGGAGGAGGGGAGGTGGGAGGAGTAGGAGGAGGAGGAGGAGGAGGGAGGAGGAGGAGGAGGAGGAGGAGGGGAGAGGGAGGAGGAGGGGGTAAGGAGGGAGGGGGAGGAGGGAGGAGGGAGGAGGGAGGAGGAGGAGGAGGAGGAGGAGGAAGAGGAGGAGGAGGAGAAGGACCAGTGTAGACCCAAGACTCATCCGTGATATTGCAACACACCCTCCCTCCAAGCTTCCTCCTCATATGCCCCACACACGGCTTCATGCTCATTGAGGGAATTACCCTGTAGGAGGACAACCGTTTGAAAACCATTAAGTGCGCCAGAACGCCATTATCGGGTCATGTTCGCCGCGAGTCACCGTTACTGCTGCGTCTTGACGGTCCTGAATCGCGCCAGAACACCGTTCCCGGGACTTCGACACCACGGATCAACCTGATTGTTGCGCCTTGCCGTTCCGACTTCGTGCCCAAACACCATTTTGGGGACATAGCAATGGGAATTCTTGAAGTTGTTGCAAACGCTTAAGACGAACATGCGCGGCGCCAAGGCGAGAGCCGCATTTTGAAAAGGAACCGCCCCCCACCCCCCCTCCGTGAAATTCTTGCAAACTGTTAAGCCGAATGTGCGCGGCGCTCAGGCGAAAACCGTGTTTTTTGTTGTGTTTTGTTTGTTTGTTTTTTTGTTTTACTATATATATATATATATATATATATATATAGATAAACGGACCGCCTTCAATCCGTGACACCTTTGCAAACTTTAAGACGAGTGTGCGCGGCGCTATGGCGAGAGCCCCGTTTTGAAAACGGACCGCCCTCAATCCAAGAGGCACTTACAAATCTTAAGTTTGAGGATCATGAATGGTGGGGAAGTTTCAGGCGAAACGCCTACCCCGTCCTTTCGACCGGCTTCGGGGTGGACAGGGAGGAGCTATTCATCAGGAAAAGGATTGGAGGAGGAGCTGGAAGGGGAGGAGGAGGGGGAGGGGGAGGGGGAGGGGGAGGAGGAGGAGGAGGAGGAGGAGGAGGAGGAGGAGGAGGAGGAGGAGGAGGAGGAGGAGGAGCAGGAGAGGAGGGAGGAGGGGAGGAGGAGGAGCAGGAGGAGGAGGAGGAGGAAGACGAAGAAGAGAAGAGGATATAATAATAAGATAATATAATATAATATAAGAAGAAGAATACGAATAATAATACTAAGGAGAGAGGAGGAGAGGAGGAGGCGGAGGCGGCGAGAGAGAGGAGGGAGAGGAATCAAGAGGAGGAGGAGCAGGAAGAGGCGGAGGCGGAGGAGGAGGAGGAGGGAGGAGAAAGGAGGTGAAGAGGGGAGGAGGAGGGAGGCGGAGGCGGAGGCGGAGGCGGAGGGGAGGAAGAGGAGGCGGAGGAGAAGAGGGAGGAAAAAGAGGAGGAGGAGGAGGAATTAGAGGAGGACGAGGAGGAGGAGGAAAAACAGGAGGAACAAAAAAGAGAAGGAGGAACAAAAGAGGAGGAAAAGCAGGAGGATGAGGAGAGGAGCTGGAGGAGGAGGGGGAGGGGGAGAAGGTGGAGGGAGAAAAAGAGGAGGAGGAACAAAAACGAGGAGGAGGACAAAGAGGCAGAGGAAAAAGAGGATGAACACAAGAGAAGGAGGAACAGTTGATAAAGAGGAACAAGAGGAGAAAGGTGAGGAGGAGGAGGAGGAGGAGGAGGAGGAGGAGGAGGAGGAGGGGAGAGGAGGATCAGGGGAGCCCCCCCCTCTCCTCCTGACTTTCGGAATGGGCGTGGGGGTGGGGGAGTGTCCCGCCGGGGAAGCAATGGTGGGGGGGGGTCGGCGAGGGGTGGCGAACAGCCTTCGAAAGCGAGCAAGAATATACCCCGAGGTGCGGGTGGGTGTGTGTGTGGGGGGGGGGGGGCGGGTCCTGGAGAGGAGCGGCGGGGTGGTCGAGAGGGGGGAGGTCCAGACTCAGAGCGGGGGAGGTCCAGACTCAGAGCGGGGGGAGGTCCAGACTCAGAGCGGGGGGAGATCCAGACTCTGAGCGGCGGGATGTTCGAGAGGGGGGAGGTCCAGGCTCAGAGCGGGGGAGTTCGGGGCTTTGCACCCGCGACGCGCGTTGCGTGCGTTCCGCTTGGAGCGTATGGGAACTGCACGTGGGGCCTCTGGGCAGTTATCTGCACGCAGCCAGGTGTTCATGTCACCCGCCACAAGAGGTCACAGCAATCCAAATGTGAATGCCCAGACGTCTCATCAGACGTCGCAAGGCCCCGTGGGATGCGTCAAAGAGCGTCTTTTCACAGCGGTGTTCTTAGCTCGAGGATGTCCATCTGCTTGCGGCAATCCCCGCCGCCGTTCCAGCGCAGCAGCGCAGCTTGAAGGAGGTTGAATTTAGGATCAATGCCAAGTCAGCGCGCAGTCTGAACTCGCGCGCGTTTTTTATTCGACTCCGTTCCTTAGTAGTAGGACCATCTTGGAGTCCTCTTGGGCCGTCTTGGATGGCTATCGGGCAGTCTTGGGGCCATCTGAGTGCTCTCTTGGGGCAGTTCTGGGCCGTTTTGTGGGGTCGTTGGGGCTACATGGAGTTTTCCCGAGGCGAGCTTCAAGTGGAAGGCCTTGCGAGCAAAAAACATTGATTTCCCTCATGTGTTTCAGTGGTTTTCGCCTCGTCGGGCCTCGCTGAAGGTCTCATGAAGGCTTACTGAGGCCTCTTGGGAATATCTTGTAGTCTTGCGGTGCTCCTGGGGCCGTCTTCGGACGGTCTAAGGGTGAGTGTCAGACCCGTGCCAGTTCAGCGCGCGGTCCGAATTCGCGTGGGTCATAAACTCGACCTCGTTCCCTCGGTCCTTGGGGCCTCTCGGGCCCTCTGGGAGGGTTCTCGTGCAGTCTTAGGGCCATTTGTATGTTCTCTTGGAGCAGCTTTGGGACGTCTTTGGGGGCTCCGTGGGGCTTCAAGCTTCCCCGATGTGATCTTGAGCTGGAAGGCCTTGGGAGCAAACACGCATTTATTGATTACCCATCTGTTTATCAAAGATTTGTGTCTCGTAAGGCCTTGCTGGAGGCCTCTTTAGGAGTCCCTTGGAGGCGTCTTGGGCCCGTTCGGAGCATCTTGTGGACGTTTTGGAGCATTTGGGGGCTGTTTGATTGGATTTTCGTTGTCGGATTGTCTTTGGGTTTCTTGCAGCCGTTTGATGCGGTCTTTAGCTGTCTTGGAGCCGCTTGGAGACCGAAAAGAACTTCAGAGAAACACATCAGGGGGGGCCTTTTTCACCAAAGTTGCTAGTAGGAGAGGGGACAGCCCGATAAACACAGAAGACATCTCACAAGACCAACCAGAGCATTTCACCCTCCCACCCACCCCGCACCCCAGGGGTCGGAGAAGGATCATCACCTCATCCCTGCCCTCCAGGGGGGGGGGGTGGAAGAGGAGGTGGAGGAGAATGCGGAGAAGGATGAGGAGGAGGATGAGGAGGAGGAGGAGGAGGAGGCAAACAGGGCCGAACGGGCGCCGCCGCCGCCCGGGCGCTGAGGTAGGACCACGTGGATCCCCCCCCGGGGCCCTCTCTCTCTCTCTCTCTCCTCCTCCTCCTCCTCCTCCTCCCCCTCCTCCTCCCCCTCCTCCTCCCCCAGCCTCGTCGCCGCCGCCGTCGCTGTTGTCGTCGCGGTCCGTGGCGGGCCGCCGTCGGGGGGGGGATCTGCGTGGGTGACGGAACCCTGGAGCCCCATGCCGCCGCCACCGGCCGCGGCCCGCAGCCAGCGCCCCGCGGCTGCCAGCCCCCTCAGCAGCGCAGCCTGCGCGGAACGCTGAGAGGGAAAAGAGGGCCCGGAGGGGCACGAGCCCGGGCGGGGCAGCAGGACGCCTTCCCGCTTTCTGCCCGCCCTCCCCCCTCTCCCCCCCCCTTCCCCCCGTTCCCCTTTCCCCCGCCGCTTCGACTGCGACCGGGGCGCCGGGGCTCCGGGGCACCGGACCGGCCGGCAGCCGAGAGAAGGCCGCTCCACGAGCCCGACGGCTTGGCGGCGTCAGAGGAAGCCCTGCCCTTCCCTCTCCTCTCCCCTCCCTCCTCCCCTCTTTCCCTCCCCTCCCGCCTCCCCCTCCCCCCTTTCTTCCCCCCCTTCCTCTCCCCCCTCCCCCCTGGCCCTCCCCTCCCCTTCTGCCGCTGGGGGGACAGCGACGGCCGGGGCCCAGGCCGGGCGCTCTATGCGCCCGGCGGCCCAGTGGCGTCGGGGGGGGGAACAGCAGGGCGCCGTGGCGCAGGCCAGGCGCTCTATGCACCCGGCGCCGGGCGCTCTATGCGCCCGGCCGCCTGGTGACCCTGCCCCCCCTCGCCCTCCCTTGCCGCCCCCTCTCCCTGCTCCCCCTGCTCCTCCCTGTTCCCCCTCCCCCCTTCTTCCCCCCCCCCTTCCTCTCCTCCCTCCCCCCGCCCCTCTCCCTGCTCCCCTGCCCCCCTTCTTCCCCCTCCCCCCTTTCTTCCCCCCCTCCTCTCTCCCCCCCTCCTGGCCCTCCCCTTCTGCCGCTGGGGGGAAACGCGGAAAAGATCGAGGAGGTGGCGTCCACCCCTGGGGTGGGCCTCGGACTGAACCCCCCCAGGAAGGCCTGCAGGCGCACAGGCGACACCGCGACGGCACGGACGCAGCCACCCTGGACGTACAGGAGGTACTGCAGTGGGCCGCGCTCATGGCCGATGGACACGCCGACTGGGGCGCTTGCGTGGCGTCGGCATCATCCGATGCGGTCCGCCTGGCCCTGCTCGACGAGGCGTCCTCCCTCCGCACAGGGCCCCGTGCCTTCGTGGATGACGTCCGCGTCAAAGCGGGCTCGCGGGGCCAGTGTGGCGTCGCCGCCCAGGCGATACAGGAGGCGTCGAGGCGGCACCGCGGCCACCTCCGGCATGGGCCAACGAAAACCGCCATCGTCGCCAGGGGCCTCCAGGACACTCGTCCCGTGGGTGGCGTGGAGTTCGTCGACGAGTACACATGCCTCGGAACGCTCCGTACTTCGACGGCGCATGGCCAACGCCACCTGGCAGCGCTGGAGCACGCTGCCAGGGAGATCGGGCACCGCCACATCCAGGTCATGGCGCAGCTGGGATTCTCCCTCGAGGAGCTCACGACGGGCCTCGTCACCTGCACCCTGGCGAAGGCACTCTACGGCGCCAAGCTGTACGTGCACGTGGACGGATTCGAGGCGACGTTCAACAGGATCCAGGAGTGCTGGGCCAGGCAGGCGCTGGCGGTCCGGGGGCCCATCCCGCGCGCACTGCTACTGCGGCACATGGCGTGGCCAACGCGGCTGGCCACGACCGTCAGGGAGCGTGCCATCCGCCTGCCCAGGAGGAGCAGGGCACCTGGTCGGCGCACCTGCGCGACCTGGCAGCGAGCTGGGGCGCCCCGCCCCCGCCGCCCCCCCCCGCGGGGCCAGTGGCGAAGGACCGATTCCGCAGCGCGCTCCGGGCTGCCGCCCAGGCGCAGGAGGCCAAGTGGGCCCAGGACCGGCCACAGGCAGAGGCCCTCCAGCGTCCAGCCGGGCGGTGCGCGACCGCGGCCGAGGTGTCGGCGTCGGGGGCCACGCTTGCCCAGACACGTGCCTGGGCCCGCCTCCGGCTCCAGGCCGGCCCCGCATGCAGCGCCACGGGGGAGGTCCCCGCGTGCCGCTTCTGCGGCCGGGCGCGGGAGACCCGCCAGCACCTCACGGAGGAATGCAGCGAGGCGGCCGCGGCCCTTGGCGCCGCAGGCAGCACCAGCGCACCGGCGCCGCTCTCCCCAGAGCGCCGCGCCTGGCTGTTGGGCGAGCGCGGCAGCCTGGCGGCCGCGGCGGCGGAGGTGGCGCGCTGGCTGGGGCCGCAGTAGGCCATCTGGAGGGGGCTGAGCACGACGTCCCTGGGGCCCAGAACCGACTCGCCAGCCTCGCGGCTTGTCGTTGTCGTGGCCTGGCCAGAGGCGCCGGTGCCTCTTGGGGGGCCCCTGCCCTGTCCGCTCCCCCCTTCCCCGTCCTTGCCCGCCCCTCCCCCCTGCCTTTTTTCTCCCCGCGGGGCGCCCGTGCTCGGTCCCCCCCAAACGCTGCCCCCGTGCAGCACCCAGCTCACCGCGGGGCTGCCGGGGCCCCCCCCTCCCGCGCGGCTCTCCAGCCCAGCCAGGGGGAGGCCGCCGGGGGGGGGGGAACCCCTCCCCGGGGGCCCATGGTTAGGCCTCTTTCCGCCCCGCGGTGAGGGCCCGCCGGAAGGCCCCTGGCCGCGGGGAGGGGGCGTCGCGCGGCCCGGGCATAGCTAGGCTGCCCGGCCGCTATTCTTAGAGCCCGTGCCGAGCGGCCCGGCCGGGCGGGCGCCCCAGACGGGGCTCCCACAGGGCGGAAAAGGAAAGGAAAGGAAAGGAGGAGGAGGAGGAGGAGGAGGAGGAGGAGGAGGAGGAGGAGGAGGAGGGCATCGGCGTTTCGGCGCGAACATGTCTGCAGTTTCGAGCATCGAGGAGGAGGAGGAGAGGAGGAGGAGGCAGGCGGAGGAGGAGGAGGAGGAGGAGGAGGAGGAGGAGGAGGAGGAGGAGGAGGAGGAGGACGGGGAGGAGGATAGGGAGGGGGAGGAGAAGGAGGAGGGGCAGGGGGAGGGGGGGAGGGAAGGTGGAAGGGGAGGGACGAGAGAGAGAGAGAGAGAGAGAAACAACAATAATAAATTATGCTAACGGAGTTCCCCACATAAAGAGATTAACGGTTTCGTGGGACCCATTTTCTTGATGCCCTCCTCGCTTTGGCGGGGCCCCGCTGGAAGGGGGGAGGGCTACGAAACCTGGCGAAGAGTAATGCTTTCCGCGACCCTCCTCGCTCAGGCGGGGCCTCCCTGGAGGGGTGGGAGGGGCACGAAACCATGTAAATAGTATGGTTTTCGGATACCCTCCTCGCTCAGGCGGGGCCTCCCTGGAGGGTGGGAGGGGCACGAAACCATGTAAATAGTATGGTATTCCGATACCCTCCTCGCTCAGGCGGGGCCTCCCTGGAGGGGTGGGAGGGGCACGAAACCATGTAAATAGTATGGTATTCCGATACCCTCCTCGCTCAGGCGGGGCCTCCCTGGAGGGGTGGGAGGGGCACGAAACCATGTAAATAGTATGGTTTCGGATACCCTCCTCGCTCAGGCGGGGCCTCCCTGGAGGGGTGGGAGGGGCACGAAACCATGTAAATAGTATGGTATTCCGATACCCTCCTCGCTCAGGCGGGGCCTCCCTGGAGGGGTGGGAGGGGCACGAAACCATGTAAATAGTATGGTTTTCGGATACCCTCCTCGCTCAGGCGGGGCCTCCCTGGAGGGGTGGGAGGGGCACGAAACCATGTAAATAGTATGGTATTCCGATACCCTCCTCGCTCAGGCGGGGCCTCCCTGGAGGGGTGGGAGGGGCACGAAACCATGTAAATAGTATGGTATTCCGATACCCTCCTCGCTCAGGCGGGGCCTCCCTGGAGGGGTGGGAGGGGCACGAAACCATGTAAATAGTATGGTTTGCGGATACCCTCCTCGCTCAGGCGGGGCCTCCCTGGAGAGGTGGGAGGGGCACGAAACCATGTAAATAGTATGGTTTTCGGATACCCTCCTCGCTCAGGCGGGGCCTCCCTGGAGAGGTGGGAGGGGCACGAAACCATGTAAATAGTATGGTTTGCGGATACCCTCCTCGCTCAGGCGGGGCCTCCCTGGAGAGGTGGGAGGTATGGTATGGTATGTGTGGTAGGAACTATGGTACGGTATGGTGTGCGTGGTAGGAATAATATTGTGCTGTATGGAAGATGGAGCGGGAGGTGGGTGGGAAGGAGAGGGTGTTCTGGGAAAACAAGAACCCCACTCAGGATGTGGGGAAAAAAAAGGGAGGGTGGGAGGGGAAGGGATCTAGAGAGAGGGGCAGCAGGAGCCCTCTCCCCCACCCACCCCACCCTCCCCTCGCCCCGCTGCGCGGCCGGCCCAGCACGCCGCCCGGCCCTCGGCCGGCCCCGAGGCGGCCGTCCACGAGGACGCGAACGGCCCCTCCGTCTTCGAGAGCCAGCCAAGGCGACGACGACGCGCCGCCGACTGCGAGGACGACGACCACGACGACGACGACGACGACGACGACGACGACGACGACGACGACGACGACGACGACGACGACGACGACGACGACGACGACGACGACGACGACGGCGGCGGCGGCGGCGGCGACGACGACGCGCCGCCGACTGCGACGACGACGACGACGACGACGACGACGACGACGACGACGACGACGACGACGACGACGACGACGACGACGACGGCGACGACGACGACGACGACCACGACACGACGACGCCGCCGCCGCCGCCGCCGCCGCCGCCGCCGCCGCCGCCGCCGCCGCCGCCGACGACGACGACGACGACGACGACGACGACGACGACGACGACGACGACGACGACGACGACCGCACCGTGGGCGGCGGTGGCCCCCTGGCGGCCCTCAGGCCTCCAGGCGCCGGCGTCGGCGGGCGGGTCCTGGCGGCGCGATGGGGCCCCCCTGCCGTTTCGAAGGGGGCCCCCGTCCCTCCCGATGCGTATGTGATGTGCTGCGCGAGGGCGCGGAGGGCTTTCTTTTCCGACACGTGCGACGTCACTCGGACGCGAGAGTGCGGACGCCCAAGAGCTCCTTTGCGCCTTCCCACGCGTCGGCGGGGGGAGTTGCAAAGGAGGAGGATGAGGAGGAGGAGGAGGAGGAGGAGGAGGACGAGGAGGAGGAGGACGAGGAGGAGCGAGGAGCGAGGAGCGAGGAGCGAGGAGCGAGGAGCGAGGAGCGAGGAGGATGTGGAGGAGCGAGGAGCGAGCGGAGGAGCGAGGAGGAGCGAGGAGGAGAGATGAGGAGGAGGAGGAGGAGAGGAGGAGGAGGAGGAGGAGGAGGAGCGAGGAGCGAGGAGCGAGGAGGAGCGAGGAGGAGCGAGGAGGAGAGCGAGGAGGAGAGCGAGGAGGAGAGCGAGGAGGAGAGCGAGGAGGAGGAGGAGGAGGAGGAGGAGGAGGAGGAGCAGGAGCAGGAGCAGGAGCAGGAGCAGGAGCAGGAGGAGCAGGAGGAGCAGGAGGAGGAGGAGGAGGGGAACATCCACCACCGCCGGCCAGGCGCACACTGGGCCCAGGAGCTGTGTGTATGCCTGCCTGGCCAAGCCAGAGGGGCCTACACACAGCAGTCCTTAGGGCGACGGCATATACATATATATATATATATACACACGTACGTATAGCTCCCGTCGCCCTAAGGACTGGGTGGGGATTGGATGTCATGGCCACGGCCATGACATCTTGCGGACTCCAGGCCCCCCTCTCTGTTCTTCAGCGCAGCGCGTTTCCCGGCGCTCCCTCGTCCACGCGCGCGACTCGAACCACGATGCGAACCCCAAACCCCTTTTGACTTTAGCGCAGCGCGTTCCCCTGCCCTCCCTCGTCCACGCGCGCGACTCGAACCACGATGCTCACCCCAAACCCCTTGTGACTTTAGCGCAGCGCGTTCCCCTGCCCTCCGTCGTCCACGCGCGCGACCCAACGAACCCGTCCCCTTGCTCCCCTGTCCCCTTGCGAACCACGATGCGGACCCCAACCCCCTGCTCGTGGCCCCGCTCCCCCGCGCACCTGAGACGCGCCCTCCAGGCCCGCCCGCTCTCGAGTGCCCGGCGCTGGCTGTGTCCAGCCCTCGTCTCCGAGGGGGGCTGTGCGGGAGTGAAGGGCCACCTCTCCAGAGGGAGGGCCCGACGAAAGTGGAGCGTGAGGAGGAGGAGGAGGAGAAAGAAGAGGAGGAGGAGGAGGAGGAGGAGGAGGAGGAGGAGGAGGAGGAGGAGGAGGGGGAGGGGACGGGGAGGAGGAGGAGGAGGAGGAGGAGGAGGAGGAGGCGGAGGAGGAGGACGCCGAGGGGCCTGTTATGGATTTGTGGATGTATGATGCTTGGGGAGGGCGGGATGCGAGGTGCGGGGGGATAGTAAGCTGCGTCTGCCGAAGCTCTACGGTTAGCTATGCAGGCTTGCCTTTGCATTGACTTCCCTTGTTATCTACTTGCACGTGTACTTCGTTCACTCTGTACAGTGCATTCCTTCCTTCCTTCCTTCCTTCCTTCCTTCCTTCCTTCCTTCGTCACGATGTTGTTCATGTGTTATTCTGGTTTGTGATCTCGTCTCTCTCTCTCTCTCTCCCCCCTCCACATCGGCGGCGGGCATCGTTGCTCTGCGCCCTTCGGGCACTCAGCTTGTATCATTACTCTGTAGAGTTCCTGTTCTGCATCGGCCTGTCGCCCAATTCGCCTTAACTTGTTTAAGTTAGCACTGCGCTAAGCCGTGTTTTTCGGCATCAGGTGCCACCCGAACGTTGCGAGCATCACGCTTAGAGCCTGGCCAACGTCAAAAAGGAGGAGGAAGAAGAGGAAGAGGAGGAAGAGCAATGAGAAGGACGACGAAGGGGAGCACGTGGAGGGTGAGGGGGATGAGCAAGAGGAGGATGAGGAGCAGGAGCAGGAGCAGGAACAGGAGCAGGAACAGGAGCAGACGCAGGAGGAGCCAGAGGGAGCAGCAGGAGCGGGAGCAGACGGCAGGAGGAGGAGCCGCAAAAGCAGGAGCACAAGGAGAAGGTCCTTGCTTCCTGCTCCGTGCTCCCAGCTCCGTCCCCCTGGCTCCGTCCTCCCCTCTTCCAACGTATACAGTGCTCCATCGCCTTCCTCCATTACCCTCGTCCCTCCCCCTGCTCCGCTTCCTGCTCCTCCTCCTCCTCCGCCTCATCCCCATCTCTTCTCCGCCTCCTTTGTTTCCCAGTCCCTCCTTCCTTCAACCCTCTCATGACTATCTGCCTCCACCTGTTTCTCTTCCTCGCCTTCCTCCTCCGCCTGATCATATATATCATGCCCCTTTTTTGTCGGATGCATTAGTACCTTACTTCTGGCTTCCCCTTGTCATTATCACTATCATCTGGCTTATGCTTGTAGCTATGCTTCCAATCCTGCACCCTCGCATGATTACGCTTCTCCGCCTTACTTGCCTCCTGCCCCTCCTCCTCCGCCTCTTCCTCCTCATCCTTTTCATATCCATGCTACTCCCCATCATCATCCATTCCTCTTCTCCTCCCTCCTTTCCACTACATGCTCCTCAGTACTCCTCTATGCCCTCCCCTCCATCATCACTCATTGTCCATCCTCCTATCTCCTAACTGCCCGCCTCTCTTCGCTCCCCCACCCTGCATCCATCCTCTCACCCTCTCCCCTACCCTTCTCATCACTCTTCCACGCCTTTTTCTCCTGAGCATCATCAGCAGCATCAGCATTCATCATCATTATCATCATTAGCAGCATCAGCAGCATCAACATCATCATCACCACCATCATCAGCAGCAGCATAGTCGTCGTCATCGTCATCGTCTTCTTCTCCCTCCTCCTCTTCTTTCTCATCTCCTTCCTCATCTTTTTTCCCTCCTCTGCCCCTTCCCCCCTTCGCCTCCTCTCCTCCCTGTCGTCCTCCCTCTCGCCGTTCATCCCTGGCCTCTCTTTCTCATCCTCCCTCCCTCATCCCTCATCCTTCTCTGTCCTGAGCCTCCTCCTTCTTTAGCCTCATTGTCTCTCCTTCGATCCATTACCTATCACCTGTCCTTATCATTCACTATTTCTCTTCCCCCCTCTCCCTTCTCCTCTCTCTCTCTGCCTTTGTCTCTTGCCTATGTCTCTCTCTCTCTCTCTCTGTAAATTTAACACATGTATGTATATCGCCACCTCTGTCTCTGTCTCTGTCTCTCTCTCTCTCTCTTTACAACTTGCCCTCGTGCCATCTCTCTCTCTCTCTCTCTTTCTCCTCCCTCGCTCCCGGCGACCTCATCCTCCTCCGCTTCTCCCTCCCATTCTTGCCTTGCCAGTCCCTCGCACTGCTGCTTTTCCTCTTCAGTTTCATCCATACCCCCTTCCCTGTCCCCCATCTTCCTCGACCAAGCCACACTCCAGCCTGGAATCATCGACGTGAGAATCCGAAGGGACTCGAGCACGCTCCACTCAGTGCCTCACGGCACGGTGGCGGACTTGCCTGCAGAGCGAATTCTCACACGGTTTTCAAGTCCCGCTCGTGCCTTCAGCTCACGGTTCCAGCGTCGATTCTGCGTCGTGGTTTCGCCGCGGGCTGTTGCTGTGGGTCCTGGGGCCCGAGCACTGTCCTGGGACTCCGAAGCTACGGAAAGACTCGGGTGGTGCATGCCTTTTGTTCCGTGACGCCAGGAGTTATCTGCACGAACGAAATGGGTACAGAAAGAATGGGTACAATGCCCAACAGCAGTTCCTGTTCATTCTGAACCGGATTCGGTGTCCGCGCCGCCGCGGCCTATGTCCATTTGAGACAGAAGGCCGCCTGCCCAACAGCGGCCGCTGTTGGTTTGGGACAACATCGGTTGTTGGGCATTGTACCCATTCTTTCCGTACCCATGTCGGGCGTCCAAAAGTTAGGGTTGGCAAAACCCGGCAGAGCAGAGGTGCGTGTGTAGAGGAGGAGAAGTGGAGCTTCGCCGGTGTCGTCGGCCCCGTCCGATCCACGGCGAGGCAAGGGCTGGCCGACACGGGCTCCTCCAGACAAAGCCCATCAGGCCGCGATGCTGACGCTGCTCCTGCTGCTCCTCGCCTGATCCCGGGCTGGCCACAATTGGTGAGAGGGTTTGGTTCTCAATTCCTTGGGACGGCCCAGCAGATTCGGCACTCCCTTTCGGATATCGTCGATACCATGAATTTCCCAGGGGGGGTCAGGAACGCAGTTGCCCCAGTTGTGGCTGGTTAGCATCCTGATCATCCTCCTCATGCTCCTCGTCGTCGTCGTCTTCTTCCTCCTCCTCCTCCTGATACCTTGTCCTCCTCTTGCTCAGGCCTCCTCTCTCTCCCTCCTGCCTTCTCCCCTTCCTCCCCTCTCCCCCTTCTCCTTCCCTCCCCTCCGTCCCTATCCCTCCTCCCCTTCCTCCTTCCCGCTCCCCCTCGTCCCCCTCCATCCCCCCTTCTCCTCCCCCTGCTCGCCAGACCAGTCCCCGTCCCTGTGTCCGTCTCCCTCCACTTGCCACCCCCTCCCGCTCCAAGAGGTGGAGCAGGGCGGCGAAGGAGGAGGGCGGGGAGAGAAGGAGAGGGGAGAAAGGGGCGAAGAAGGGATGAGGTGCATGAGGGGGAGGAGGAAAAAGAGGAGGAAAAGGAGAAGGAGGAGGAGGAGGAGGAGGAGGAGGGAAAGGAGGAGGAGGAGGAGAAAAAGAAGACAGCAGGCGCCCAACAGCGGGCGAACCCGCCTCTTTCCGCAAGTAAGCTAGGCATGTCCGTTTGTCGCTTGTGCAACTGGAGGGAGGGTCTCCATTTCTTGCTGTGGAGTTTGAATATGGTGCTACGGGACGGCGCGGAGTGCGCACCAAGACGCTCAGCGGCGCAGCGAAAGGTTGGCCGCGACTGGGCGAGGTGGTCTGCGGACGATGCGGTGTTGAGGCTTTCAAGGGAGCTCAGGCGTGTCCGCGACCACCAGGAAGCTGCAGAGCTAACACTCAGCTGCCAAGTCGGTGATTGTGAGGTTTCTCAGCGGCTGCAGGACCTCGTCCAAGCTCTTCTGGCAGAGCTGGAAGGAAGGGCTGACTAGAAACCTGTCGCCGCAATGTGGCTGGGTGCGAATTAATAGGGGACGACCAATGACGGGTGGGGAAGAAAAGTGCATTGTCGTGCCTTTTAAGGCCCTACAGTGAGTGGACTACATATCGCAAGTTATCTGAGCGTTCTGAGAAACAGCGTGCCAACTTGGATCAGTTTCCATCGATCTGCGAGGACCCCCCCTGTGCATTTCGATGCTGATTTGCGTTATTTTGTCCACTCAGACTTGGGGTGCTCGCTTGAAGCCAACATTGAAATGCAGGGGGCGGGGATTGTTCGTCGAGGTGGTGTCGCAATGTAGGTGCAGCCGCACGCGGTCAGGAACAACTCGCAACAGTTCGTCGTCCCACCGTAGAGGGCCCCTTTTCTGCGGCCCTCGCTGCCCCCCATCTATCGCCCCCCATAATTTCGCACAAATGTTCGCCATGCACGCTGACGCGAAGCGAGCTGATGCTGCAAGGGGCCCGAGCAGCTCCGCCGAGCCCAGCACGGGCCCCGGCTAGACTTGAGAGCGGAGCAGATCCATGTTGCCAGAGACGGCGAAGACGGTAAGTTGCGTACAGGGTCGCCCGTTGTTGGTCCTCTGGGGTACAGACGTGGATGTGAATTCTTGGTGCAAGCGGGGAAGCAGCTCAAGCAGTGGATCGGTGTCATGTGTCCTACGTCCCCTCGCTCCCGTTTCCTGGTGTTTGGGGGTGCCTCTGGAGGGAGAGAGGGAGGAGGACTTGCAGCGGGTGCCACCGAGTGCCCTCGCCCATCTTCCTAGCAGGGAGCAAGACACACCAATTTGACAGCACAAGAAGCCACAAGCTGCCCGCAGTCACCCAAAACCTCGAGATGGTGACGGCGGGCGCTGGTTTGCGCGCGGGCGTAGCGTTCCAGGTGAAGGACCAGCAGGCCGCCTTGGACAGACGGGAACCCAAAGGCATGCTTTACGCAGAAAACTTGCCAGAGTTGCTAGAGACTCCTGGGCAAGAGCGTGCTGCAGAAGTTAGAGAGAAAGAGAGAGAGAAACAACAAAAATACATCTATATATACATAGAGAGAGAGAGAGAGCGAGAGAGAGAGAGAGACAGGAAAGGAAACACCTCAGACGATGGCTCTTCGCGGAGGCCGTGGCAGAGCGTGAGCGCGAGTGAGAAACAGCACTACGTGAAAGAAATCGTCTTCGACGAGTGCGTTTTGTTGAGACCGTGGAGCAGCAAAAGCATCACAGTAGCTGCTGATGCGTCATGGTAGCTCAGCAGGCCAAGGCCAAACGGCCGCCCATGAGCTTCTGCTTCCCAAATGTCCCTTTCCTCTCCAGTTTATCCTGCCCCTGCCTTCCCTCCTTGTCCTCCCCTCCCATCCGGCATCATCTTGATGCCGATTGCAGTTGGCTTTCTTGGGGGGAGGCGGAGGAGTAGAGGGTTTCGAGTATCAGCGCGTCTGTGTGCGCGAATGTCGACGTGGGGCGCGTGTGCAATGGAGGAGGAGTTGGAGGATCAGCCCTCGTGCCTCCCACCCAGCAACCGCACATAAGAACATGGGCGCGTCGGCCGAACGACCGGAGACCCAAGGTTGCGAGCCAGTGAAGCCCCGGACCCGAGGGACCACGATGCACTCTCTTACGGGGGTTGCCCAGTGGACGGGGGAAGGCGAGAGTGTGGCTATCGTGGCTCACTGCGGCACCACATCTGGGCATCTCCTTCCCCTCCGTGCCGCGCCAGTGAAGCGCAGGAGCACGGGTGCCTGGGCTGGGCATATCCGTCCTTCTCCATTCCTTCTCGTTCCCCGTTCCCCTTCTTTCCGTGACTCCTTGAGCATTGGCGTTCATTCTTTGCTTTAAGTCGGTGGTAGGGTCAGCCGCTCGGAGTCTTCGGTTTTTGGTGGGTGTGCACGAAGAAGGAGGCTGGAGGAGAGGGGAAGAGGCAGGAGGGAGACGCCATAACTATTTTTCGAAGACGACAACTCCATCGTAACCCGCGACGGCGGTGGCCAGACCCTACAATTGGCGACGGCTAGTGCAGCGCCTGGAAACATGTTGTCAGATCAGCCAACCAGCCAACCAGCCAGCCAGTTGCATCGGTCGGGGATGTCTCACCCCCCCATGCGACATCTTTAAGACAAACGAGTGGCTGGTTGCTTGGCTGCTTGGCTGTTTGATTGGTTGGCTGGGCCCGTTCTATCCCTAACACGTTATGACCCACATCGTTGCGACAATAATATGTTTGGTTAGCTGGTTTGTCTGCCGGTGGACGGGTTAGTTAGTTGATTGGTTGGTCGTTTGGTTTTTTTGTTGGTCGGTTGTGGCTGGTTGGTTGGTTGTTTTGTCGGTTGTTTCATTAGTTAGTTGGTTGGCTGGATGTTTGGTTTGTTGGCTGGTAGGCTGGTTGGTTGGTTTGTTGATTGGTTGATTGGCCACCGCTTCGGTGCGCCAGTTGTTTGAGTGGCCAAGGGGCTCGTTGGTTAGTTGTCAGCCGTAGTGGCCAATATCATGACCCTTCACAGGTCCCAGAACCCGTGTAGCAGGCAAGGGGGAACAGACAAGTTTCCATGAGCAGAGTGAGGTGGCCGAGCGGTCATTCATTGTCCCTGTGTGCGTGGCTGAAATGGGATTCCGCGGTATGGATTGTTGTCTTTGTTGTTTGTTGTTTGTTGCTTGTTGTCGTCGTCCCACCCGCGACCCATCCGCGACACACTAGTTGTTCTGATGAAGAATTCGGCGCCTGCGGCGGGCTTCTTCAGAGCCTCGCAGGCTGCCGACGACCCCGCCGCCCCCTCACTCTTATCCGCAGCTGCGGGGGGGCTAAGCGTAATCCTTGGTGAACCCCCTGTGGCAGGCAGGGGGTGACATAGACAACATATCGCTTAGGACTCAGCCCCTGTGGCAAGAGTGGGGGAGCAAGTGGCACGCGTGCCCTGGCTCTTGCGCGAGGAAGAAAGTGCGGAGGAGGGGGAGTCTTTGGGGCCTCTTAGCCTCCCTTGGAGCTCTCTTGGTCTCTCGGGGACTCACGGGGGGCTTCTCGGGTTCCCTTCGGGCCTGCTGGGGCCAATGCCAGGAGAGGGCCTCGGGGCCGCCTGGGGGCGCCTTGGGCCAAGGGGCAGAGCCAGCGCCACGGGAGCCGAGATACGGCCGAGAGGGGGGGGGTCCCGAGCCGAGCGACGGAGGAGCGAGAGCCGTGGGGTCCTCCGAGCTCGGGAGCACGGCCGCGCAGGAGAAGGAAGGGCTCGGGAGGCCTGCAGGGGGGGGGGGGGGGGGAGGCGGCTTGGGGGAGGCGGCTTGGGGGTCGAGGGGGGTGGGGGCAGGACGAGCGGACGAGCGAAAAGAAAGGGCTCGGGAGGCTTGGGGGTGGGGGCGGTGGGGAGGGGGCCTGGGGGGGAGGCTTGGGGGGATGCAGGGGCGGGGGGGGGGGCTGGACGAGCGGACGAGCGAAAAGAAAGGGCTCGGGGGGCGGCGCGTCGGGCAGCGAGCCGTGCGCCGCGTCCCTGAACCGCACAAAGGCTGCGTGGGTCGGGTCGGCGCCGTGTTCCAGTATTTCCCCCCCTCTGTATCTCTCTATCTTTCTCTGTTTTTTTGTTTGTTCTCTCTCTCTCTCTCTCTCGTGAGCGAGAGGACACAGGCGGCCCAGCAGGCAGCAGCAGCAGCAGGGGGCGAGGTGGACTCGTCTCGTCCTGCCGTCGCCGTCGGAGGAGGAGGAGGAGCAATAATAATAGAAAAGTGGACTGCATGCAAGGGCGGTCAGGCGGAGGGGGCAGGAGAGGGGGGCGCGGGGGGGCGGAGGTTGTGCGACGTCGTCGTCGTCGTTGTCGTCGTGGCAGTGGTCTTGGGGGCGGTGGTTGTGGTAGAAGTGGAAGTCGTGTGCGTGCTCGTGGTGGTGGGCGTCGTGTTGGTGGCGGCTGCGAGGGTTGGCCGGGGTGAACTGCCGCGCTGCCCAGTTAGGGGGCAGGGAACCGTGCGGGTGTGCCGCCCCGCCGGGTGCCGCCGACCCTGTTCGCCGACCCTGTTCGCTAGGACGAGGAGGGATACGAGGGGGAGGAGGAGGAGGAGAAGAAGGAGGAGGAGGAGGAGGAGGAGCAGGAGGAGGAGGAGGGGGGGGAAGCTGGGAAAACAAGAGAGCGATTCCATATGTATATATCCTACTTAGATATTTTTATAGTGCCGGGGAGCCCCCCCCAGCGCCCCCCCCCCCCAAACGAATTTCGCCTCCGGGGACCTATCTTGCGCCGCCTTACTGTGGCCATCCTGGGGTCGTCTCGACGCCCCCCGAGTTGAGCGATAGTGTACAAGCGAGAAGGCCGAAAACATTGCTTTTTTACCGCGTTTCCGCTGCTTTTCCCACTCTCCGGGCCCTGTTGCGCCAGCCTTGAGCCTCTTTGGGGCTCGTCTGGGGCCTCATCTAGAGCCGTCTTGGAGGCATCTGGACGCCTCAAGAGCCAATCGGAAGCGACAAAGCCAGAATAATTACCAAAAGCCTTTGCTTTTCCCACACTTGTCCATCTCTGGGCCCCCCTCTCCGGGCCCTATAGGGCCGGGGAGCGCCCCACCCGCCCCGCCCTCCCCCAAAAGACTTTCGAATCCTCGGGCCTGTCCTGCGCCTCCCTGTGGCCGTCCTGGGGTCGTCTCGACGCCCCCCGAGTCAGCCAGAAGTGAAAACGCGAGAAGGCCGAAAACATTGCTTTTTCTACTGCGTTTTCTCTGCTTTTCCCACTCTCCGGGCCCTGTTGCGCGAGCCTTGGACCTCTTTGGGGCTCGTCAGGGGACTCAGTTGGAGACGTCTTGGAGCTGTCTCGACCCTCAAGAGCCAATCGGAAGCGACAAGGCGAGAAGACCAAACACCTCGCTTTCCACTGATTTTCCTACATTTGTTCATTCTTGGGCCCCACTCTCCAGGCCGAGTTGCGCCATCTCCGGGCCGTGTTGCGCCAGCCTTGACGCCCCCCGAGCCGATCGGAAGCGAAAAAGGCGATAAGGCCGAAAACATTGCTTTTCCAATGGTTTTTAAGCCCTCTAGGGCCAGTCTGTGCCCTCTTTGGGGCTCGTCAGGGGACTCCTTTGGGGCCGTCCTGAGCCTATTTCGATGCCTCAAGAGCCAATCGGAAGCGACAAGGCGAGAAGGCCTGAATTTTCACAAATTCTTCATTCTTTGGGCCCTCTTCGGCCAGCCTTGGGCCTCTGTGGGCCTCGGCTTGTGCCTTTCTGAGGCCATCCTGGGGCTATCTTGACGCCTCTCGAGCCGACCGGAAGCGAAAATGCGAGACGGCCGAAAACATTGCTTTTCCAATAGGTGTTCTCTGACTTCCGACTCTCCGGGCGCTTCCTCGGGCCACCCTGCCTCCGACCACGATCTCCCTGAACGACCGGGTCACGATTTGGAATGCTTCGGAGGGTGTCTTGGGGAGCGTCGGGAAGCCGACGTTCACCAAAAACCATCAGAAAATCAATGACTTTTGCCTCTTAGGGCCTTCTTGGGAGTGCTCTTGGCGGCCCCTTTGGGACGTTTCGGAGCGATCTTTGGGGGTATGACGGCTTCTTGGGGGTCGTCGTGGACTGTATTGGGGCTCTCTGGGCTCGTTTCGGGAGAGCGCCGGAACACCTGGAACCCGTCTGGGGCTGTCTTCGGGCTCTCGTGAGGTTCTCCCGGGTCGTCTAAAGGATTGCCCAGAGGCCCAGGGAGGGCCAAGTTCGTTAGGGGGTGGGATGTTTTTTTTTTCCCCGGCGTCCCTTGCCCTATATATATATATATATATACATACATACACACACTTACATGTGCATAGGAATATCTGCATATATATATATATATATATATATATATAGATGGAAATGTATATACAAATAACGGTGCACTGGGTCCGGGGGCCCGGGGCCGGGACCTCGACCACAAATGTGCGCCCCGGGGGGCCCGGAGGCTCGTCGGGGCTTGCCGGAGGCCTCCCCAGTCAGACAAGACGGCCCAAGAAGCGCCCAAGACGGCCCAAGAAACTTCCAAGAGGCCTCCAAGAGGGCTCCGAGATGCTGAAGATGGCCTCCAGACGTCCAAGGAGGCCCCCAAGAGGCCCCAAGAAGCCTCCAACATGCGTCCCAAGAGGGCCCATTCCCTTCGTAAAACGTACATTTTCAACAAAGTTGTCTTTTGGGCTTTCCGACGTTACAGGACGGCCCAAGAGGCGCCCAAGACCGCCCCAAGACGGCCCAAGAAGCCCCCAGGACAGCCCAAGAGGGCCCCAAGACGGCCCAAGAGGCGCCCAAGATGGCCCAAGAGGGCCCCAAGACGGGCCCAAGAGGGGGCCCAGAGGGGGACCACGAACCGCAAGCTCGAGCCTTCCGCCCCAAGAGGCCGCCAGGAGGCCCCCAGGAGGCCCCTCAAGAGGCCCCAGGAGACCCCAGACGTCCAAGGACGCCCCCAAGAGGCCCCAAGAAGCCTCCAACATGCGTCCCAAGAGGGCCCCTAGACGCAAAAATTGGCCCATTCCCTTCGTAAAACGTACATTTTCAACAAAGTCGCCTTTTGGGCTTTCCGACGTTACAGGACGGCCCAAGAGGCGCCCAAGACCGCCCCAAGACGGCCCAAGAAGCTTCCCAGAGGGCCCCAGGACAGCCCAAGAGGGCCCCAAGACGGCCCAAGAGGCGCCCAAGATGGCCCAAGAGGGCCCCAAGACGGGCCCAAGAGGGGGCCCAGAGGGGGACCACGAACCGCAAGCTCGAGCCTTCCGCCCCAAGAGGCCGCCAGGAGGCCCCCAGGAGGCCCCTCAAGAGGCCCCAGGAGACCCCAGACGTCCAAGGACGCCCCCAAGAGGCCCCAAGAAGCCTCCAACATGCGTCCCAAGAGGGCCCCTAGACGCAAAAATTGGCCCATTCCCTTCGTAAAACGTACATTTTCAACAAAGTTGTCTTTTGGGCTTTCCGACGTTACAGGACGGCCCAAGAGGCGCCCAAGACCGCCCCAAGACGGCCCAAGAAGCTTCCAAGAGGGCCCCAGGACAGCCCAAGAGGGCCCCAAGACGGCCCAAGAGGCGCCCAAGATGGCCCAAGAGGGCCCCAAGACGGGCCCAAGAGGGGGCCCAGAGGGGGACCACGAACCGCAAGCTCGAGCCTTCCGCCCCAAGAGGCCGCCAGGAGGCCCCCAGGAGGCCCCTCAAGAGGCCCCAGGAGACCCCAGACGTCCAAGGACGCCCCCAAGACGCCCCAAGAAGCCTCCAACATGCGTCCCAAGAGGGCCCCTAGACGCAAAAAGTTGGCCCATTCCCTTCGTAAAACGTACATGTTCAACAAAGTTGTCTTTTGGGCTTTCCGACGTTACAGGACGGCCCAAGAGGCGCCCAAGACCGCCCCAAGACGGCCCAAGAAGCTTCCAAGAGGGCCCCAGGACAGCCCAAGAGGGCCCCAAGACGGCCCAAGAGGCGCCCAAGATGGCCCAAGAGGGCCCCAAGACGGGCCCAAGAGGGGGCCCAGAGGGGGACCACGAACCGCAAGCTCGAGCCTTCCGCCCCAAGAGGCCGCCAGGAGGCCCCCAGGAGGCCCCTCAAGAGGCCCCAGGAGACCCCAGACGTCCAAGGACGCCCCCACGACGCTTCGCGTCACCAATTTCTTCTCACAACGATTCCTGGGTCTGTGACGCGACAGAACCTAAGCGCGCGCGAAGCGCGCGTGGTTCTAGTATACATATATATATATATATATATATATATATATATATATGTATGTGTATGCGCATGTATGTTTGTCAGTATGTCTGTACGTCTGTATGTCTATATGTCTGTATGCTTGTGTGTCTGTATGCCTGTATGTCTGTATGTCTATATGCATACACATATATATATATGTATACAGCGAGAGAGAGAGAGAAAGAAAGAAAGAAAGAGAGAGAGAGAGAGAGAGAAAGAGAGAGAAATAACAAAAATCAAAAGAGGGAGCAAGAGAGCAAAAGAGGGGGTAAGGAAAGGGAGAATGCTGTGGGGGGAGAGGCGTTCGCTGGTTTGACAGCGTCGCAGCGCTATCCAACCAGATGTCGCATGATCTTGGCGGGAGAAGATAGAAGGGGTGGAGACAGCCAGACACTGCCGCGGAACAACTGAGCCCGAGGCGTCTGGGAAACAAAAGGTCGAAGGGGAACATTTGTCCCATTTGTTCAGTGGTTTGCTGTTGTCGTCGTCCCCACCCGCGGGGCCCGATCCCCCGTATGGGCCGGGTGACAGGGGTCCCCCCCCCTCGGGCGAGTCCTTCCAGTGGAGAGGTGAGACAAGGGGGACAGGGGGAATCATCGGTGTTCCTTTTGTGAACAGGGGATAAGAGGGTTCCTCCCCCCTTCCCCCCACAGGCTGGTATCCCTTGCGAGAGGGGAACAGGGGGGAATACCCTTTGTCCCTCTCGGCCCGACATGATGGCCAGGGGGGAAGCGGCGACCAGGGTGTACAACGATGACAATTCAAACTGCTAAGCTTCTCGAGCACGCCGACAGGGTCGGCGGCTTTCCCTCTTCTCTCTCTCTCTCGGTGTGCGTGTGCGTGTGCGTGTGCGTGTGTGTGTGTGTGTGTGTCTCTCTCTCTCTCTTCTTTTTTTTGTTGTCTCTCTCTCTCTCTCTCTCTCTCTATATATATATATATATCATGTTCCTTTTCTCTTTCTCTCTTACGCGATGGCCAGGCCCCCGCCCAGCAACCGACGGCCACCCCCAGCCGCTACGCTGGGATTGTCCTCCCGCCGCAATGAATTTGTTCTCGCGTGTACGCGATGTTGCCTTCTGATGTCTCTCTTTCTGGGCGCCCGGTCGGGGCATTTGCCGTGATGTCGTCAGTATCACCCCGCCCGCTCTCCGTTGCTGCTCTGGTCGTTCTGCTGCTTCGTCCTCGCTTTCTTCCCCCGCGTACTCAGACTCTTTGCCGGGCTGGCTTCCCAGGTGCATCCGCTGCCGCGGTGTCGAGCGTCTTCGAGAGCAAGCCCGCGGCGTCGCTGGCCGACGTCTCCTATGGTGTTGGGGGGGGATCCGCCCTCGTCCAGATGAAACATCTCACACATTTGCTTTCGCTTGTCATGGCAACCAATCGTTACGATGACCAACAGCTGTACGAAGAGCACGTTGCCACGAGGATGGGCGTCTGTTGGGCACGCGCGGCGGGACAGGGCTCTTTAGGGTGCTCCGTTGTGTTTGGTACTACCGGTTGACATGCAAAGCCTGTGATGCTTCCCAGCAGAGCGAAGCCCCGACATCTGCGCGGTGCGAAGCACATATCAGTCGTGCTTGCGTTGTTTTTGGCCCTGGGGCCCTCAAGGATCGGTCCGGTTCGGAGAATCGAGTGCAGTATCGAAGGTAAGGTCGTGAGCTCCAGCTGACAGTTTATTGACGACGCCGTCGGTCTTCACGACGTCGGATGTCGGGGACTCGTTGGGATATCGGCCGGTTCGATCGGTGCGGCTCCTCGGAGCAGGACTTGAACCCCCGAGGCGTCGTTCACAAAAAGCAAGGATTTGGGCTACCCTTTCTTGCGCCGAAGCTTCGTTGCCTGTGCGCAGGGGTGTACGGATTGGGGGGTGGCCTCATCAGCGAGATGACCTAACTTTGGCACTGGAATGCCAGACCAGACGCGCTCCTTCGCGAGCAGTATGTGGCAGGTGGCATCCGCCGTCTCCTCCAGCTCGCCTCCTCGCCTCATCCTGTTCACCTCCTCCTCTGCTCACCCTTGCCTGACCCCCCTTCTCTTCGCCGTGCTCACCTCCACCCTCATCCTCTCTCTGCCGCGCACCTTCGCTGCCGCATCCAGCGCGAGAGGAGTCACACACACACACACTTTGGTCGGCGGGGCGAGAGCGAACCTCTTCCGCGAAAAGCTAGGCGGACTATGCACAGCTATAATTAGGGAGACAGGGCACACACACACACCACAGCACAGGCCACCGATACCCTGCGGCCCCTCCCGGGCGAGGGCCGGGCGGAGCCGCAGGCAGAGCGAGGCGGACAGAGGGCGCGGCGTCGCTCGCACGCTGCTCTCTTCGTGTCGAGCTCTGTCGCAGGCCTAGAGGTTGACACCAACACCAAGATCGGCGGTGTGCCTCCAGCGAGGGAAGAAGATCCCGATCTCGGTGGTGGTGGTAATATTCTGGCTTCCAAGGTGACCGAAATATTACCACCAACACCGAAATCTAGGATCATCTTCCCCCTGTGGGGGAAACCCCTGTTTGAGTGTTGGTGCCCATTTCCAGGCCTCCAATCAAGGGCATAAAAACGCACCTACCCTGGTTGACGGGGCGCTGTGCGCTGAAGCTCCTGCGGGCTGACGGGGCAAACCCTGCCGGATGTGCCGCGTCCTGGCGGCTCTCCAGGCTTTGGGGGGCCCCAGGAGTTTCACAGACCGCGCACTTGCACCCCAGGAGAAGGCCGCTCTGTCATCCCTCAGAGGAGGGGGAGGGCAGGAGGTCCCCCCGCGCCACGGCGGGCACAGCCGCGGCATCTCGTGGCATCTCCCACGGCGATGCGCGTTGGCAGAGTCGACTCCGCCCCGAGCGGCCAGCTGCGGCCTCGTGCGGGAGGGGGCGGAGGGGCAGGAGGAGCAAGGAGGAGAAGGACTGCGGAGCGCGTAATCAGACGTCGGGTGCTTGCAGCCGCCAGCTGACGTCATGAAGGATGGCGGCAGGGTGGCGCCCCTTTCCAGAGCGACAGATCGTGTGGCGCTCTCTGCCGCTCGCTGGCTTTGTGTTGCCCGCCTTGTTTTGCTGCCTCGTCCTCGTTTTCTCTCCCGCTTCCCCCTTTCCTCCTCCTCCCTTTCGTCCTCCTTGCCCGCAGATCAGACAATCACAGGTAGAATAAGGCAGGTTCTCAGACGAGAGCCCGCACTGCAGCGCCTCCTGCGCTAGCCTGCCCCTGTGGAGGACGCCGCCCCTGCCCGCAGCTGCGTCTCACTCGGGAGCACAGGGCGAGGACGGTCCTGCCTCAGGGTTGCCCGCCCACTCCCCGCGTTGGCCATCGGTCAGTCGCTGCGCTCGGCTGCCTCTCCGCGCTCGCGGCGTCGGGGGCCTCCCTGCCGCCGAGGCCCACTTCGACTCGACAGTGCCGATGCCGAGCTCGCCGGGTTCCGTGCGACCCGATCTCGGTCTTCTGGGGATGCCCGATGCGGCAATCCCAGGAAGTTCCGCCGCATCGCCCATTGCGCAGGCATGGGGCTCCTTCTGGAATCGAGCCAGGACCCCTCGCACCCGAAGCGAGAATCATGCCATGAGACCAAGCAACCAAGTGGAATGTGCTTACTTGGGTCTTGGGCATTTGACGCTTGGCAGCACCAGCGATGTCTGTGTGGCGTTTGCAGCCCGCTTGCCCCTTGCTTCCGATTCAGGACATGGAAGCGCGCGGTCATGCGCTACGCTGCAGTGCTGCTGCGCGTGCCAGGGGGATATGGGGTATGATGCGCTTTCTGCGTGCCGTGCGCCGCCCGCACGGGAGCCTACGCGCGTGGCGTGGGAGATGGGAAGACCGACGCCAGCCCGGGGCCAGCAGAAGTCCACCTAGCCGATGGCAACGACACCCGAGGCGGCCGATGAAACTCAGGAGGGACAAAAAACACACAGACACAATTAATCGTCGATTTCCCCGAAAATATAGGAAAATATGGGAAGTGCGGGGGACAAAAACCCAGAAAATATGGGGAGATATGGGGAATCCTGTTATTTGTGTGTATTCATTTGTGTGTCCCATGGCCCCTTCAGAAACTCCGCCGAGCCAAGAGGAACTCCGCCTAGCCGAAAACAATCACACACACAGCAAACGACACGGGAGCCTGGCCAACAGAATTTCCGCAGCCAAGCGCACAGCTGGCCCGACCTCGGAGGCGGCGACATGGGGCGAACAGCGCAATGCAGGTTCTTGGGGGAAGGGCCAGTGGCCCAGGTCTTCGGCGAGGCTCCCCGGCGAATGCGTGCAATGCCCACCCCGGCTACATTCGCCCTTACCGTCGTCGCCGACGGTCAGACGCACGCACGATTTCCGATTCCGTGCCGACCGACCCGACGCACACCCCGATCCGACGCGCGCCCCGATCCCACGCGCGCCGTCGGGGCGTGGGGGAGGAGGCCGAGTGGGAGGGGGAGGACGAGCAGGAGGAGGAGGAGGAGGAGGAGGAGGAGGAGGAGGGGGAGGAGGAGGAGAAGGAGAAGCTAGGATCAGGAGGAGGAGCTAGGATGATGAGGAGGAGGAAAAGGAGGAAAGGAGGAGGAGGAGGAGGAGGAAGGGAGGAGGAGGAGGAGGAGGAGGAGGAGGAGGGAGGAGGAGGAGGGAGGAGGAGGAGGAGGAGGAGGAGGAGGAGGAGGGGGAGGAGTTGGAGGAGGAGACGCATGATGAGGAAGAGGAGGAGCGAGGAGCGAGGAGGGGAAGGAGGAGCAGGAGCAGAAGCAGGAGCAAGACCAGGAGTGAGGAGCAATGGCGAGGAGGAGGAGGAGGAGGAAGAGGGAGAGAAGGAGGAGGAACAACAGAAGAAGTAGGACGAGAAGGAGGAGGATGAGGAGGAGGAGGAGCAGCAGGAGGAGGAGGACCAATGTAAACCCAAGAGTCATCAACGATGTTGGAGTGAACCCTCCCTCCAAGCTCCCTCTTCATAGGCCCCTACAACGGTTCATTTACATTGGAGGAACTGCCTCGTTGCAAGGCGTAAGAAGACCCTGAAGCATGCCAAAACATTGTTCTCGAGATTCCAACGCCCTGATCAACCTGACTGTTGCGTCTTGACGATCCTGAATCGTGCCAGAACGCTATTCCTGGGACTTCAACACAGACAATCAACGCAATTGTTGCACTCGCATAATCCGGAATCCTTTCGAAGCACAATTCTTGCTACGTTGATGGCGGGAATCCGTGAAACTCTTACAAGTGTTGTAAACGAATTTACGCGGCGCTACGGCGAGAGCCACATTTTGAAAAGGAACCGCCTTTATCCCGTGAAACTCTTGCAATCTGTTACAACGAATGTACGCGGCGCTACGGCGAGAGCCACATTTTGGAAACGACCCGCCCTCCACCCGTGAAGCTCTTACACACGTGTTGCAACGAATGTGCTCGGCGCTACGGCGAGAGTCACGGTTTGAAGCAGACCCGCCCTCAAACCGTGAAATTCTTGCACATGTTCAAAGCCGAATGTGCGCGGCGCTACGGCGAGAGCCATAGTTTGAAAACGGCCCGCCCTCCATCCGTGAAGCTCTTGCAATTGTTTAAAAAGCGAATGTGCGCGGCGCTAAGGCGAGAGACACATTGTGAAAACGATCCGCCTTCATACCGTGAAGCTCTTGCACATGTTCAAAACGAATGTGCGCGGCGCTACGGCGAGAACCGCTTGTTTGGAAAGGACCCGCCCTCAATCCGTGAAACTCTTGCACATGTTTGAAACGAACGTGCGCGGCGCTAATGCGAGAGCCACATGTTGAACACCGCCCGCCCTCCATCTGTGAAGCTGCTGCCATTGTTTTAAGCGTGAGAGCCATGCATGGTGAGGACGTCCCATACGAAACGCTAAAAACAACTGGCCTCGGGGTGCGCCAGGGAGAAGACAGTTGTACGGAAACGGAATGGAGGAGGAGGAGGAGGAGGAGGATGAGGACGAGGAGGAGGAGGAGGAGGAGAAGGACGAGGAGGACGAGGAGGAGGAGGATATCGAGAATAATGAGGATGAGGATGAGGAGGAGGAGGAGGAGGGAGGAGGAGGAGGAGCTGGATGGGAGGAGGAGGAGGAGGAGGAGGAGGAGGAGAGAGGAGGAGGAGGAGCAGGAAGAGGAGGAGCAGAAGAGGAGGAGGAGGAGCAGGAGGAGGAGGAGCAACAGGAGGAGGAGGAGGAGGAGGAGGAGGAGGAGAAGGAGGAGGAGGAGGAGTGAGGAGGAGTGAGGAGGAGTGAGGAGGAGGAGCACGAGGAGCAGGAGGAGGAGAACGAGAAACTGTAAGGAGGAGGAGGAGGTGGAGGAGGAGAAGGAGGTGGCGGCGGAGGAGGAGGAGGAGGA